GAACAAATAGATAGCAATCTGAAAGTCTGATCAAAATCTAAATAAAATACTAATACGATGAATAAAGTTATACAACTTTTAGCTACATTGAATATTGAGTGTGCGTAATGAAATTCTAAGAGTACCTACACTTGAACGGTTCAATCGATTAGTTACGAGGTACGCTTACATTTTAACCTGTTGTTGCAGCGTATCATGTACTACATTTAGAATCAGAATTAATTATTAAGCTATAAGTGCAAGGTCCCGTACCGAGCGTCTGGTTTGATTTATGTAAATTGGTCGCATCGTGGGTCCAGCTGCGGTATAATTCTAGCTGGAAAAGCGTGACGGGAACAGAAACTGGACATCGGATTCCAATAAAATATGAACGGAATCCGGAATGATTAATGTTTAATGATTCTTGCAGGTGTTAAACTTTTAATTAATACCTTCCTATTGGGATAGTAAAAGATATATGATATCGTTCTCAAAAAAAGCAAACGGTGCACAAGTTATAGGGTCAATATCTCTAGTTAGATGCAGCAATTTAAAGCGGCTGTATTATTAAACATGCGTAGTTCAGCTATGAGGAAGCTCCACCTTATCAAATTATTCAAATGTCATAGCCTGTTAAGTGCATAACGGGACTGCGTGAAACATTGCAGGTTGGCCGGGCCGGGAACGAACTGGCATCGCATCCCAGGTGAATAAAGTCCAACAATGTATTTGATGATAAAATATCCTTTATTTTGATTTAGTTTCACAAAAAACAATTCTCCCGTGACACTGTTGATGACATGACATTTTCTTCTTTTTTATTTCTTTATGGTATTAAACATTCCGCCCACCATGACCGGAATGGTCATAATTCCGCCCACCATGATTAACCACCAACGAAAGAGTGGACTGTATAGTTAGGTAAAAAAAACAAAACATTATAAGAAATTTAAATTGGTTAAATCATGGTGACTAGATAACAAAACAATAGTTAGAGTTTAACCTCATAAATGTAGGTATAGATAGATATACAATAATATTATTCAAAGATAATTTCACAACTTAACTTACTTGTTCACAAAGTGGTTAACCAAAACGAAAACCACAAAACTCATCACTTAAACATGATATAAAAAATAAAATAGCTCTATTCAGCCACTGGCAAAACACACAATTTTACAACAGGCCTTTTAATAATGGTATCTCTACATTTTATACTAACAACTCTCGTAAGGTTGTCCAAACCTTTGTGCTTTTCGGTAATTATGCCCATTAACCACTTCGCAGGAGGAAGATCGTCTTCCTTAACTAAGACTACATCCCCAATTCTAGGCTCTGGTGTTTTATTTGCCCATTTGTACCGCTGCAAAAACTGAGTTAAATATTCGTTTGACCACCTACGCCAAAAGACCTGGAGCATTTGTTGGGTTAGCTGCCAGCGTTTCAAAGATGATATTGTTGACGTTTCATAATTGTTATCGGGCACAAGTACTAAAGGTTCACCGATGATAAAATGACCTGGTGTGAGAGGTGTTGGATCTTGTGAATTGGTACTGATCTGTGATAACGGCCTTGAGTTGAGACACGCTTCAATTTGGTATAACAGCGTTGATATTATTTGGTGATACATTTTGACTATATCAGCCACCAAGCAACTAGGATGCAGTCTCCACCTCATCGCCAAATGACGAAGATCCGATTGAAGCCTTGGGCCTACCAACAATTCGCTGTTGAGCGATACACCATTCTTGTCTCGACGTGAAGCGTCAAAAACCACTCTTAGTTTGGTCGTTGTTCTGTTGAGCTTCACTACTGCGTGATGAGGTAAGAGCACACTTTCTGATTTGTCGATCTCGTCGTTTGGTACCTTTTCCATGTGACCCAGCTCCAGACTCTGCAATAACATCGGAATAGAGATCCTTGAGATTTGGTGATTTTGATAGACGTCTTTCTTGCATTAAAAATCTGCTTACAGCTATTTCTTGCGAGTTGCCTGATTTACAGTTCGGGTTTTCTTCTTTAAATGGCAGTTTCACGATGCACCGTCCAGAAGGGTCTCATCAGATTCTATTTCCCAAAAGCGTTTAAGTTCGAACTCTTCGTCAACAACTTGAGTGTGTAATGTTGTTATGATGTTTCTACAGCTTGGTTCAGTTTTCCTGTCTTCAGATACTTGACCAGATAATATCCAGCCGAGTTTGGTGTTTTGAGCTATAGGACACCCTATTGGACCCTTAACTAGTCCCTCAGATAATATCTGACAATACACCTCTGCACCTAACAGCAAGTCTATTTTGTTTGGAACATTAAACTTTGGATCAGCCAACTTCATTTCAGGCATGTGTGACCAAAGTTTCAAATCAACCTGTCGTTCAGGAAGAAATGTGGTAAGTTTGGTAAGAACGTGAGCTTTCACCCTAATTGTGAAGTTCGGATCGTAGATAGATTGCAGTTTGATGTTAACCACATGTTTAGAGTTGACTGATGAGCTACAATCACTCCCTACCCCGGTTATAACACTTTTATTTGCTACTTTCTTCAGCCCAAGTAATTGGACTGCAGACTCCGTCACGAACGAGGCCTGTGATCCCTGGTCCAATAAAGACCTAAGTGTTACGAACGATCCATTGTTTGTTTCAGCTTTTACCAACGCGGTTGCTAAAAGAACTTGACTCTTGTTGTTAGAGAAACAAGTGGTAATGTTGGTTTGCTGGTCAATGTCATCAGATGTTGTTGCTGTTGTCGCAACGACATGATTGGTTCTTGATGGGTTAATTGATTGTGTTGTTTGAACATTGTTGGATGGTACGTTGGTATTAGNGTTATTGGTTGAATGCAATAAAGAGTGATGCTTCTTATTGCAGATTCTACATCTAGTAGGCAAACGACAAGTCATAACCGAATGATTCGCGCCTAAGCAGTTAAAACAAAAATTGTTGGTTTGGACAAAGTTACGGCGAGCTGATAGTGTTTCATTTGCGAATTTCTTACAATTGCCAAGTTTATGGTTGTTGTCAAAACAATAAGAACAAGAAACCGATATTTTGCTAGGGCTGTTCTCTACTACATGATGGGACTGGGTACTTTTCATAACTTTGGGATCCAAAAATTCGAGAGACCTAAAGCGATGTTCTATGAAATCTAAAAATTGCTTTAATGTTGGCAAATCATTAGTAAGGTCACAAATTTTTGCTTCCCACAGTTTGCGAGATTCATTATCTAATTTTGAAGACAAAATATAAATAAGAATGATGTCCCAATTTTCAGATTTTACACCTGTGTTAGCTAATGCATTTAGACATTCATTTGTAGTATCAAACAGATCTTTAAGCGCAGTTGAATTTTCATGAGCAATATTCTTTTGACTGAAAAACCTTTTTAAAATACAATTAGTTACATACTTCTTATTGTTAAATCTACTTTCCAAAAGGCTCCAACACACCGAATAATTATCACTTGTAATTGGTAGATGACGCACCAACTGCTCCGCTTCACCAGTTAGGTAGCTTTTCAGGTAATGAAGTTTCTGTACCTTTTGTAACGAGTTGTTGTTGTGGACAAGTGACAAAAAAAGATCTCGAAATGTGATCCATTCGGCATATTTTCCAGAAAAGCAGGGTATGGAGATCTTGGGCAACTGCACTCTGACTTGCTCCCCCTCACTTTGTGATGTTTCTTGAGATCTGACCTCTACCTGAATGCACCTTTTCAACTTTTCTTTTAGTTCGGTCTTATATTCGGTGTATAATTCCTCGGTCTTGCTGAAAAAGTCTTCAGTGAAATATTCCGATTCTTGGTACTCTGCATCGCTTACTTCGCAAATAATTGTATCGTGAGTTTTGTTGAAATTTTGCCACAATTCCGATAAATTTTCTAATTTTGTTTCGATGTAACTAGTTGTTATTCTGACACTTGGAGACTTGGCAAAATTTATTTTGGATTTGTTAATTCGGTTGAAGATTTCGTTTTGACTTCTTACTAGTTTCTTCATGTTTTCGGCTCGAATAGGACCATGAATAAAGTCCAACAATGTATTTGATGATAAAATATCCTTTATTTTGATTTAGTTTCACAAAAAAACAATTCTCCCGTGACACTGTTGATGACATGACATTTTCTTCTTTTTTATTTCTTTATGGTATTAAACACCAGGTCTCCCACGAATGAAAACATTACGCTGCGCTCACACAAATACACCGCATTACACCAAATATGTTTTTGCAATAGCCGATGGATATACGCCGATAATCAGCATTTACAGTGGGGGACTGTGTACGGTTCGATTTCAGCTATGAGGGTTCGATTTGTCACGGGAGTGTGAATTTGCTGATCTCTTACATTTTACGATTTGCAAGCTTAATAATGATGGACTAAGTACTAAGATTTATTTTCGCGTCTAAAAAGTCCTAGACGTAGGGCCGTAGGGCAGGCCTTTTGGACTTCCTCTATACCAAAACTTTGGGACAAACCTAGAGTTGTTTTGGCATATTATTAGCATGCATTGAGTTACATTATGTTAGGATGTCGTTTTTAACAATATTGATAATTGAGACAAGATTAATTATTCGAGCATGACAGGCAAGCGAGCTATGGGAACATTGCCAGTGCAATGGCCTGGTGCATTCGCAACCGCCAATTTAATTGTGGATGCAAATTCGAATCCGATGTGTCCGCGGCGTTACCGTTACGATGGTAGGGCGGTCTCCGCTTCGTTATTTATGAGACGGACCGCGTGCGCCGCGCCCATACGCGCCTCTACGACACTTTATTAATGATCGACTCTTTGCCAGCTTTTTGTTATCAATATTGGATAACACGTTACGGATGATCGAGTTACACGCCCAGAGCTGCACCGATTATCTTAACAGCCTTTTAATTTGAACGCAAACATGAGTTATTAGATACGTTTTGGTCGGTGCAAGGTGACCGACTCGCGCAGCAAGGGCATTTGTTATTAAATTTTATATGACAGCATTCATAAATGCAAATTCGAGCTGGTTACTGGTTAATATTTCACTTACATGTTGGACGAGTCCTGTTTGGTCGTGTCAAAGGTATCCAAGGCCTCTGTGGTGGTAGAGTGGCAGTAACTGAAACAAACAAAAAACAATACGTCGTCAGTAAAAAGTAGGCTTGGCTTTTTTTTTCAATAGAGGTTAACTGTTTACTACTATTGCAAATAGCGAAACAACTGATATAGAGCGACAAAAAATTCATCAGTTTCCGCACAGTTGCAAAGCGTTACCGTTAACTAAACCTAATCGCGACTCGTGCATGTTTACTTATTTACAAGTTCTAACCACATTTGTATCGTATCGTAAATTTCGGCTTAAAGAAAGAGTACTGTCACCGAGTTTTCAGAAAATACTAGGCGAGGTTGTATTGAATGGCAACTAATAATGACTTCATCACAGTATGTATAGTCGATCAAATCAGAACAGACAAACCCGCACGTTACATTTCAAAGAGCGGTTCATACAAGGGCAGCCTGCATCCAATGTCTTTTTGTAACCTTAATCTGTCTATCGAGCATGTGGTCTACCCTTACTATACTTTCTAGTACCCACTTACTACTCGTATGTGTTGATTTTAATTGTGTTCGAAGTAAAAACCAGAGAAACTATGAGCTACTCGTTTATGCGTAAATTATGTTTGTATAGACCTCGTATTCAATTTACCTACACTGGTGTATCAACAAAGCCGTGTAAAAAACTAGTGTCTATTGTTCTTTTGGATGTAGGCACGCAACGAGACATGGATCCGAGCGAAATCAGTAGACGCCCGGGGGTCTCCCATAGCCTAGNTAGCATGGCAACAGCAACGGTACACGAACCGTATTTGCTAAACTGGTAAAAAGTTAATGATGTGCGAACAAAAAACACCACGTTGAACAAACCTGATGACATCAAGGTTTAAAAGAGAAGGAAATTAGTGTTACGGCAATATTTTGTGAAGAAACTGATATTTCTTCTTTTGTTAGAAATACGTAATAGCTTTCATGGCACGTGAAGTAATCAATAAAATGCTCGTTTGAATTTTGTAATTTTGAGCGTCCAGCGGACCAGATCGCGGAGCATGTTTTAGTCAAGAAATTGACCCAAAAACCGTGGAGATTGACTTAGGATAGAATATGCTGATTACCTACATCAAATAATCATTGCATTTACAAATACCCTGAGGTTATTTATATACTTAGCTTAACTGTGACGGCAAAAACTCTTGAAATGAAGGCTTAATAATAGTCTCCAATATAATCGCGATTGATAAAATCTAGTTGCATATACTTAAGGTAAAAATGGCAAGTTTTGCTTCTCTTTACTATGAGAGAGAACTGCCTTAGGCAAGTGGAATTACGGTTGAAGTTGCCAAATGGCCAATAATTAAAACGACCATTTATTTGCAATTAAGAAACTGGATATTCGTTTCAATGTACATCAGTCAATAAATAAATCATAAAGCAGTGTCAATCCTTCCACGTGGACCCATCAGGTGAGATTGTTATCATGGTGATGACTTTGACCCTCGTTACTTAATATTGCTCCTAAAGAAAAAATATCTGCGTTGTTATAATCAATCGGCCGTTTGGTGTAGTGGTTCGAAACGGACTACTATTCCGGAGGTTGCGGGTTCGATTTCCGCACAGTACAAACATTTGTGTGCATGAACATACAGGGTGTCCCAAAAACAATGGATAACCCTGTAACCATCGATAGGCCTCGCCATGGTCTCCCTAACGTCCAATTTTGACCCCAGTAAAAATATCACCGTTTTCAAGATTTTTAAGTTTTTGTGCATTTTTAGAAAATTGCCACCTGCGATTACTTTTTCTCATGCCATTTCTACAAATGAGGATACTTTTCAATCTAGTTTTTTTCCTTATCACAAGGGATAGTTGGGCTATCAAAATAAAAGATTAAAGTTCAACAAACTAGTTTAAAAGTATGAAAATTTTAAGAAATTGCAGAGAAGAAGGAAAAATTAATTCATTGTCTTGCACTTTTGATCAACCATCGTGTGAAAAAAATGTAGGAAGACTATCGTGCCCATTACCTTAAAAACTTCCTTTGTTAATTGAGATTCTAAAAAGGTNGGGAAGGCGCTGGATGCAGGCCGCCACCAACCGGCCATTGTGGAAATCATTGGGGGAGGCCTATGTTCAACTGGACGTCCTATGGCTAAAATGATCATGACGATGATGATGAAAGCGAATAAAGGGCTAATAGTTTGGGTAGTTCATCGTAGGTATAATCCTTTCCTTTTCAATGCTTCTTTTAGTTATATTAATAGATTGTAGTCATAATACATACTCGTATACATGGATGATTGTGTTATACTTTCATTATAATACTTAGTGGAATTACTGCTTTCAAAACGTGAACTAGAACTGGCCCCATAGCAGACATTTTCCTACATCTAAAGGCCTTTTAAAATATATATTGGTTATGGCTATTGGAGCGGGTACCACTTTCCATACATTTGTGCCCATCATCCTTTATTAGTCTACGTCTATTAGTTTCGACGTAATTGTTGAACAAAGATACCCCTTCCCAGCGGTTTCCATAGCGCACGCGACATGCGAAAATGCACTGCCTGAAAGAATCACACAACCTATTCCGATTACTATGGAAACCGCTGGGAATGGGTATCTCTGTTCAACAATTACGTCGAAACTAATAAACGTAGACTAATAAATTTACATTCGTTTTGTAGAATAGCTCAAATACTAATAATACAATGCAAATAAAACATACCTTAACGACCTGATTTTTCTTGTGTTGGGAAATAACTGAAAAAGATGTGAAAAAAATCATGTTTATTTCTAATTAAATCCATTCTTACTCCCTTAAAATGTATGAAACTTGTGTCTGTTTTCTACTTTTACTAGTAGATAATTTTATTGGCTATCGCATGATATAAAATATTTGCTTNGCGTGCTATGGAAGGGGCTATGCTCGGATTTCTTTACGAAATCGTATCAGAAATTAGGAGATCCGTAAACGATCTAAAGTCGCTGACATACCTCGACGGATCAGCAAGCTGAAGTGGCAATGGGCAGGGCACAGTAGTTTGCAGAACTGAGGCAGCAGGGTTAAAGTGGAGGCTACGTACCCGAAAGCGCATCGTAGGACGTCCACCTACAAAGTGGACCGACGACATCATAAAGGTAAGCAGGAAGGTGCTGGATGCAGGCCGCTACCAAGCGGTCATTATGAAAATCATTGGGGTACAGGCCTATGTTCAGCAGTGGACGTTCTATGGCTGAAATGATGATGATGATGATGATTAAATGTTGCTTTATTAAAATTCCTACGCTAAAAATTATCCATTTGTATTTAATGCCACTATGCAGTCCTACTTTAACTATTACGAGAAAAACTCACTTTTGCAGTTTTCATACCAGTTGCTATTCAAGTAGCCATAAGATAAAAATAATACAGAATACATAGGCTTGTGATACCTTTTTAGAATCTCAATTAACCGAGGAAGTTTTTAAGGTAATGGGCACGATGGTCTTCCTACATTTTTTTTACACGATGGCTGATCAAAAGTGCAAGACAATGAATTAATTTTTCCTTCTTCTCTGCAATTTCTTAAAATTTTCATACTTTTAAACTAGTTTGTTGAACTTTAATCTTTTCTTTTGATAGCCCAACTATCCCTTGTGATAAGGAAAAAAACTAGATTGAAAAGTATCCTCATTTGTAGAAATGGCATGAGAAAAAGTAATTGCAGGTGGCAATTTTCTAAAAATGCACAAAAACTTGAAAATCTTGAAAACGGTGATATTTTTACTGGGGTCAAAATTGGATGTTAGGGAGACCATGGCGAGGCCTATCGATGGTTACAGGGTTATCCATTGTTTTTGGGACACCCTGTATTTGTTTGTATTGGACTGGGTGTTATCTATGTATAATAAGTATGTATTTACAAAAAAAGTATTTAAGTATGTTTATATCCGTTCTCTAGTACCCATAGTACAAGCTTTGCTTAGTTTGGGACTAGAAGCGCAGTGTAAAATGTCCGAGGATATTTATTTATTTAATCTTTCAAAATGTCATCGTGAAATTGATCATGAAGATCAAAAAGATAATGTTATTTACCATAGGAGTACATAAGGTTCATATTAGAATTTCAAGTACAGTACAAACAGCAGCAGCTCAAAATCAACACTGTGACTTCTTCTGTGGTTATGATTGGTGCTATTTTGCAATGAAAATGTAGTCTGATTCGCTTTCGAGTGTATAGTTATAAGTTTGTCGAAAAATAAGTAATTTATTGAAAGAAAATTCCACAGTAGAACCAACCAAAGCATCAACTAAGATATAAACCACAATTAGTAATCACAAAGTGCACATCACTGTATGCGTGCTGATATTCAATAGTGTCTATTAGGGTAGAGATGCGAATCTATCGAGAGACAGGCAGCAAAAAATTAATTTCAATAGATTGTGATTTAATAAACCGCGGCTAAGATTAGATATCAGACAGATACCTACCTATAGATGATCTACAATTATGACTGTGAAATAAAAATTTCAACTTGAACATTACAGATCTTAGATATTAGGATCAGTATCTTATCAATCTGGGTGATGTTTAAATGACTGTTATGTTTTAATTTTAAATAATTAATGATTTACAAGATCAGCTTTGTAACGGTTGTAACTCTTTCTTCTTTCTTTCTTTTCAGCCAAATGACGTCCACTGCTGGACAAAGGCCTCCCCCAAGGTTTTCCACAATGAACGGTCCTGCGCTGCCCGCATCCAGGCTCTTCCCGCGACCTTTACCAGATCGTCGGTCCACCTAGTAGGAGGCCTGCCCACGCTACGTCTTCCAGCCCGTGTCGCCACTCGAGAAATTTCCTGCTCGAAGTTGTTGACAATTATGTATACCTGGGACAAACAGTCCAGTTAGGTTGTAACTCATTTGGTTGGAATTCATTTCGATATGCGTCATATTGGTGTCACCTCTATCAAATTGTGAAAATTTGGTAAAAATAGGCTTTATTGCCAAATATAACAAAAACTATTAAATAATAATAGCGATAGATTACTCAATATCAATTAAGCCCTGACGAAAGAAAGATTA